TTATTTTGTTTGGTGGCCCCACTAATGCTTTTAAATGAGAGATGCTGTGAAGAGGAGGAGGGGATTCTCTGCAGCTGCATGTGAGCATTCTGCCAAGAGAGACACAGGAAGGAGGCTCCCGTGTTAAAAATTGCCAACCAGGAGATTTACGAAACAGCAGGGGGAGAATGGATGCAGGGGAGGAAGACTTGTGCATGTGAAAGATTCTGCCAAAAGCTCCCTTTTTTGTTGTTGTTGTGAAGTCCCGGGGCCTCTGGAGGCCGGTCATGCTTCAGCGACCCTAGCTCCCTCCCATTTTACCCCCATTCTAAAGCCACCGTCCTCTCGGATATAAGGCAGAACCGCGTCTTAGCAGCTCCTTTCTCTCACCCCCAGCTCCCCAGGCCTTCCCCCACCCCCCCACCCCCAAAACAACAGTCCATTCTGCCACAACCGGATAATGGAAAGCAGCTTAACGGGGGGGGGGGGGGGGGGGGGGAATCGTTGCCCTCGGAACTAGATCAAGTCCCGGACTAAAGCCACACTCCTAAGAAGGAAATGACAATCGTCTGGGCAAATGAACTTTTTAGTTGAGTTTCTATCCTGTTAGGAGCAGCAAGATAACCCCTGTCAACACTAAGAGCTCAAAGATGAGCTTCTCAGTTGTGTTGTGAGCGCGCTTAACATCGGAAAATCTAGCTCTGCCCTTAGGGGGAAGCTAATTCGGGTCAAAGAGGCCGTCTGCTTGGGTTCAGAGGTTTGGCTTTAAATTTCTGCATCAAGCGATGGGTATCCGGGCCTTCCACAGCAAGAACAAAGTGGAGGCCCGCCACCTCTTACCACGATTTCCAGGGAGCAGATGGGCAGTTAGGAGCAAAGGTTTCACTCCCGTCCTCCACGGAGTGGGGAGCGGTCCATGCTTCATGCACGCCCACTGCGGCCAGAGAGTACCAACGACTCATCTCCCCTCCGAACTCATGGGTGAAGACCTTAGAGGTTCTGACCCAGCAGCGTCCTGGGAGTGTACGTCAATGTGCATTCCAGGGACCCAACTTGCCTTGTGCTGAACCCTCAGACGAATGGCCCCCAAGTAACACAACACCACCCTCGGGAATGTAGGTAAAATACAGAGCCCTCTGAGGATCAGCATGCACACTGCCCAGTAACCCCCCCAGCCCATCGAGAAGAACATACAGTGACAAAGGGCTGTCAGGTGATCGACCAGTAGGCCCTCTCTGAAGTAGGCCCTCTTGGCTTCTGTGATGAAACCAAGGTGGAATCCTGTTCCTCCATCACACCCGACCCCCAAGGCAGAAGAGCCAATGAACCATCCTCCCGCAGTTCCAACAGCATGGGCTGAAACGGGTCAACCGGAAATACGAGCACCAGGCACAGTCCATTCCCAGGGCATGCTGAGACTGACATTTCACTGGGAACCCCGACGCTAAGCCTGGCGTTCCGCGGGGACTATTTCACCCCTGCAGGGAGCAACGGAGCACAGCCGGTTAGGATTTGAGCGCTCCTGTCCCGGCTACTGGCATCCCCAGACCTTTCGCTTCCCTCGAGCCCATCTCTGAGCCCCAGCTGTGCGGGAAAAGTTAAGGCTCTCAGCCCTACGTTGGGTGCTAGCGACCTGCTAGCCTGAGATTTTTTATTTTTTTGGATGGGCGGAGGACACTGAGGTCAGGAGAATGACACTCCAGGAAGCTCAGGCTCTCTGCGGACACATTTTTTAATGTGCCGAGCGGTGAGCTCACCCTCTCTCTCATAGTTGGCCACGCAGCAGGCTGCACAGTCCAAGCCCTGTGGGAGCCACACGGGTGTGCACGTGGAAGGGGACCCTGCCACGTGGGGGGCGCACACACTAAAACACCAGCCTTTCACTCAGGGAGGCACGTGCACCCCGTTTTACAGTGGAGAACACGGAGGCTGTCTTGAAGCTGAGGCCCGGTGATTTTCTGGGGGCGCTCAGCTAGTAAGTGGCGGGGAGGGTATTCAGGGGCCCACCAACACCCTGACTTAGAGCAGTGACTTTTCTAGGAGGTCCCTCGGGGTCACGAGATGACGACATTCATTTGAATTAATAAACACAAACACACACACACATACATGCACGCACACATACAACACACACCATCACGTGGATAGATATTCAACAAAACTGCTAAAAACCCGAAGAAGAATGCCATACTTTCAAAACAAACTAGAACAAGAACACGCTGTTGCCTCAGGAGGACTGCCCTAAAAGCAGAAGGGGCTCTGATCAAAGGTTCCCTAAGCTGGAAACACACACACACACACACACACACACACAAGCGCCCCAGCCAGGAGAGAAACAGGCGGGGCCCGTAATGGTTCCCCGCAAGTGCGGCCAAGCACTCCTAGGCGGAGAACAATGACCCTCACACTGCTGCTTCCTTATGAGGCCCTACAAACGAGCCTCTCCCCCGCGCCCCCCCCCCCGGGGGAGGGGATGCCGAGCTCACTGCGGGCCACTTTCCTTTTCACCGTTACCGTTCTGGGGTGTGCGTGCGTGTGCGTGGTGACAAGCCAGAGGGCGTTAAGACAGTTAAAAATCTGAACTCGTATTTGTATTTGCTCTCCGTTGAAGTTCACTGTTAAGAGTTAAATTATACTTGTCCACCCTCGCCCCCCAAAAGAGCTCTTTAAAAGGGGAGGCCATACAAAGAGCCCCCCCAAACTCTGCTTAATCAGCACATACACCACAGGGGAATTCATCAGACCCACGTGTCCTCTTGCGCTCCAGAGGATTCGTAGGGCAAAACGTGGAGACATAAAGGAATTAAGAAGAGCCCATGTGACGGCGCGTTGAGGTCTAAAGCTGAGCAGTACTGACCTTTAATTTGGAGAACCAGAGCCTCGTGCCATCCTTTTTATGAATATGTGAGAGCACTTTGGGACATTTCCAGCTGGGAGGAAGGAAGCACCATTATTCATCACCGTTGGCTGAAGAGACCTGACAGGCTCTGCTTTTAAAACCTATATAGGCTGGCCGCCACCGCCGCCCTCCAGCCTCCACGAAGCAGGACTTTTGGAAAGACCCATGAGCTGAGAAGGGGGCTAGAAATAAATCAGGGGAAGCTGGGTCAATGCCACATTAGCCTGTGAAAGATCACGTATGCATGTTTAGTTCCCAAACACACGCTTGCCTGACCCAAAAGGGACTGAACATGCAGCCAAGGCTACACCGGGTCCCTGTGGAAAGGGGGTGGCATCCACTGAGGGACCCTGAGGAACACCCCCTAGTTGGCTGGACAGGGACCTGTCCAGTGGGACTTTCTGCAGCCAAGAAGTAGCCTTAACTTCTCTTTCTATGGGGAGAAAGGAGGGCAATCCCCGAAGCATTATCACTTGGCAAAATAAATCCCACAGAGCAGAATCTAGAAGGTTACTGCAGATATCTGAAGTCCCAGCTGCCAACCCCATACCTATCTGGGGCACACCTATCTGGGGCTGGGAGGCTGACGAAGCCTTTAAAATTCAATTACAATCACTCTAAATAAGGCACTAAAAACAAATGAATGCAAACCTAAGCTTGGGGTGGGGGGGATCTCGAGGGTCAAGAAATTCAGTGTCCCCCACCTTGTCCAAAAGAAGGTCAGTCCCACAGCACAGACTGGAGCCGTGGCGGTTCAAGACAAGGGCTGGGCTGGATCCGGCCAACATGACAAGGACAACCAACTGGTCCTGTTCCTTAGCCTTGTGCTTCTAAAGGGCAGTCGACGTGCCAACTATTTTAAAGCTCCAACACACTAATTCTGTAAACAATAATGGCGCGGCCTGCACGCTGCAACACTGGAATGGATTCCTCAACTTGGCCTCATCACTTATGCAGCTGATGAAACAAACACTGACAGCCTTTTTGCATTTGTAAAGGCCCCACGGCAGCTGTGGTGATCCCACCACAGAGCAATGAATTAAGCCTGAAACCCAGCTGGGTCTGAACAGAAGCCCTTTCTGCACAATACAGCAAGACTATCATTGTTAACCTAGGCATTATCGGGAAATGTTCTGCATTACATTAGAGGGCAGTTCTAACTCAATCCTTAAAATTAGCTCTAATAAGCAATTTTAGGAGGAGGGATGTGGCACTTGCTTTTGAAATGGCACAAGGATGTGGATAGGTTATAGGTACACCACGCAAAGGCAGCTGGGCAGAACAGGACACAGATTTCCAGTTAAACAATGCCAAGATCATAAAAGTAGCTCCTTCTTAGATATTCATACACACACACACACACACACACTCGCTCGCTCACGCCTACCTTCTAAACTGAGGTCGGTATCTAACCTTGCCAATTCTTGGTTGTTTGGCCACTACAGAGAAAAATGCCAAATGTAGCCGTCTGTTGGGGCTCCCCATTGGGTAAGCCAAAACAATGACTTGGACAGAGAGCTGTACCAGAAAAACCAGTGTGAAAAAACATGATTAACATCATGAGTCAGAAATGTTTCTGACTCCAAACTTAAGCACCATGTAATAAATAAGATTCCAAATGCTAACAGACACACTGGTCTTTGGCTTCCAATTTTCACCAGGACCCTCGAGGTAACACACAGACATCCATACTCCTCGGGACAGTGAGGACATGCACTCTACCCTGCACCTCCCGAAAGCCTTTGGAACACCCTTGGGCCACGTGACTTTTGCAGACCCCCCGCCCCCAATCATTCCACCTCTCTTCTCTTGCCTCACAATTTCTCTGAATGCTTAAAAAGAAGCAAAACGTTCCTGACTCAAAGAAGAGACCACGATCATCTCAATAATTTCACACCAACTTGGGAAAAATAAATCTGGTATAAATCAAAAACATCAAAAGAAAACATGGCACCATCCCTCTTCCTTAAAACGACTCCCATTTCTTAAAGGAGTTCATTATGAAGAGCCTCGGAAGCACTTTTCTGTTTAGGCAAAGCAGGCCTGGAAGGACCAAGAAAATCGGGGAGAATTTCTAGGTAGACAGTGGTTCTATGCCCCAAGGTGTTTTGCCGAAAAAACGTTAACGTAACCACGAGAAAGTCAAAACTGAAGGTAAGGCAGGGCAACAGTTCTTCTAGTCCTTCTTCATGCCCCCAGAGAGGAGCCAGGGTCTTTATTCTACCCCTCCCAAAACTCTATGTGGATCTGAAAGACCCACCACTACAGCCAAAAACACCGGAGCACCCACAAAAAGCAAAATTCAAAGTCCCACCATTTTTTTTCACGCCTAAATGGAGCATACACATGGTTCTAGCTTAAACTTCTGTGAACACTGTTCAGTTTGCAAAAGGGCAGAGAAGTAGGGCCACTCTTGGCCCCCCTACAAACACAGGGAGGCGTGGCAGGCAGGCGGAGAGGAAAAGGAGAACCCCCAGTCCCCAAAGGCAAGGCCAGAGCCCCAGAGGGGGAGAACCCAGCATAGCACTCAGCTGAACAGAACAAACAGTGGCTCAGGGACACAAGCTGAGAGAAATCGCTTAGCAGGTTAACTCAAGAGGAGTAAATAAATCTAGTCATGAGTGGGTTTGATGTGCCAGGTTTCCTAACTGGAGATACTCCAAGAGAAATGCAAATATCACCCCCCCCCCACACACACACACAAACACCTGTACACAAATGTGCATAGCAGCATTATTCACAAGAGCCAAAAGGAGGAAAACAACCTGAATGTCCATCAGCTGATGGATGGATGAACAAAATGCGGTATGCCCATAAGATGAAATACTATCTGGTCATAAAAAGGAGCTGTGTACTGGTCCATGCTAACAACATGCGTGAACCTTGAAAATGTTATGCTAAGTGAAAGAAACCAGTCACAAAAAGCCACATAGTGTAGGATTCCATGTATATACAAAATGTCCAGAGAGACAGAAAGTGGATTCGTGGCTGCCAGAAACCACAGACATTGGGATGAAATGTGGGGTGACTGTCAAAGGGTATGGAGTTTCCTTTGGGGGGGTGACAAAAACGTTCTAAAACTGATCATGGTGATGCTTGCACAACTCTGAACATACTAAAAAAACCACTGAATTGTTAAGGGGGGGGAAATCACATTCACATCCAAAATCACTCAGGGAAAAGGCTGAGATGCTTAAAATGCCTTCCGTCTTGAACTACCACTGAAACGCCAAAAGAAAAATAGTTGAGGGCGCCTGGGTGGCTCAGTTGGTTAAGCGACTGCCTTCGGCTCAGGTCATGATCCTGGAGTCCCTGGATAGAGTCCCGCATCAGGCTCCCTGCTCAGCAGGGAGTCTGCTTCTCCCTCTGACCCTCCCCCCCTCATGCTCTCTGTCTCTCATTCTGTCTCAAATAAATAAATAAAATCTTTAAAAAAAAAAAAAAGAAAGAAAAATAGTTGAACTGCCAAACGAACTGGAATAAGTTGGAGATGTAGGAGAGTTTTAAAAAAAGAAAGGCTAAAATGGGCTGGCACTTTTGCGAAAGATACAGCAGCAAAGGACAACAATGTGTGCCAAGAATATGTATCTATAAAACACCGTAGTTAAACTTCAAAGTGCAACGAGGGGGAACTTCCATCTCCCCAAAAAATAAAACCTGCAACTTTAGGCTTCCTATTCCCCGCCCCCACGCCCCCCACCCCCGGAGCTATGCTGTGGACTTTAATTAAGAGCATGGGAGTCTACCATTTAAATGCATTTACTCAATGCCAGGGCCTATTCAGACAAACCCTTTCAATGACTTTTAAAGCCATCTTTGGATTTGTAAGTTGGATAGGAAGCAGAGAGGAGGGGAGTCCAGAAGTAAATTAGATATTACTTATCAGCTTTAGCAATCTTTCCACACCGGCAAGGGAGGATTATCTGCTGTTGATGGGAGGGGGAAAAAGCAACCATGAACCACCATCCAAGGCTTTCCCTGGCTCGTATATCATGTCTGTCCCAAGGAACAAGCACTCATACCTGGGGGCAAGGTGGTTCTGTTCTTTACCGAGATGACGGCAGTGTACAATGAGAGTAAAAGGACTCCTCTGACAACAGGTACGACTGAGGTCTTCATTTGTATTAAACAACTGTAAGCAAGTAATGTTGGGCCAGCTTTTGCAAGTCAAAGATAATGGCCTTCCTTGGTAAACTGACTGTGCTTTATAATCATCATTATTTATACTCCCAAGAGGCTTTGCCTACCGCTCCAATAAATTCTGGAAAGAAGTAACATGACAACTTCAGCAAGTCTCGTGGAAGAAGGAAAGCGAGAAAAAGCGGGTTGGGGAGAAATACGTGCTCACATTTGGCCAGGTCAGCGCTGAGGCAGGGATCACATCACTGAATGCGAGCACGGAGCAGAATTCGGAGAAAAGAAGACCGCTTCTGAGCTTCAGATATGCCCCAAAGTCAGATCTGCACTCCCTGCCTCCCAGGGCTTTCTAGCTTACCAGGGCCAGAAGAGAACCCGTTTTAATAGCATCATTAGAGTTCTGATTTATCACAAGGACAAAAACAAAAGAGTATGTTTCTCATCTAGACAAGAACGTGGTTGTAACATGAAGCTTTGCAAGTCCGTATCTGCAGCAAGAGTTTCTGCAGGACTAATTGATGGTGTTTAGACGGAGCTGGGGGGGGGGGGGGGGGCGGAGGGAACGGGCCAGTGAATTGAAACAAGTATTCCCCAACCTCTTCAACCAGGAGACTTGGCCCGTGGCTCAGATATGCCCAGAGCTCAGACTCTGGAACAATCAGGCAGGCCAAATGTGTTCCTTATTTAAAGGAGGTTTCCTTTCACTCTGTCAGCCACCTTTCAGATTCCAGCTAAGTTTAAACCACAATGGTTTGGAATCCTAGCAGTAGTTTTGATGATCACGATACAGAATGGGTATTTGAAAACATTTTTAAAGACACAGGATGCTGAATCATGCACGAACATATCCCAATCGCTACTCCCCCCCCAAAGAAGTTTATTATTAAATCCAGAACCCTCCGTGGCCCCCTGCACTGTGGAAAAAAGTGATAAACCATCCTGGCATTCAAACAGAAACCTGATCTCTGCCACTCAAGGATGTTACCAGTGCTGGGGATTACTTTCATGCATCTTTAAAATTCTTGCAGATTAAGAGTTCTGTTAGGGTGTCAATACCAATATTACTTAACAAAACTCGCCTTTAATTAAAAGTTTTAGCTCCAGTTTCCAAAGCTAAAGCAAAAAGCTACTCGGCCCTAACACCGCTGGGTGGAGAAGGACAAGGACCCGCTGCCGGTGTTTTCATGTGGCTGTCACTTTTCCCAGTCAGAAAGTCAACTTTTGTCAGATCAAAGCAAAAATTACTTGCTCCCAGGAGGACTGCTCATTGTGGCCTTAAATCCTTTTTGGAATGAGGGTGCGGTATCTATAAGTCAATACATAAAATAAACATGCCTCAAAAAAGAGCAACCAACGAGGAGTCCAAGTAAAAAGGCTACAGGGCTGGTAGAACTGAATGTCAAAACCAGGCTAAACTCATCAGGCTCAAGAAGACGGTTTCCTTGGCCCCCACACCAAGCCCCTCCAACCCCGTTCCTAAATAAACGCACAGGAATGGCTCTATAGAGGGCCCCACCCAACATTTCAGGTTTTCCACACTGTTAAGAAACCAAGTCCAGGGGCTCCTGAGTGGCTCAGTCGTTAAGGGTCTGCCTTCGGCTCAGGTCATGGTCCCGGGATCCTGGGATCGAGCCCCGTATCGGGCTCCCTACTCAGCGGGAAGCCTGCTTCTCCCTCTCCCACTCCCCGCTTGTGTTCCCTCTCTCGCTGTCCCTCTCTCTGTCAAATAAATAAATAAAATCTTTAAAAAAAAAAAAAAAGAAAGAAACCAAGTCCACTGTTCATTTGGCTTCAAAGACAGCTGGCCTTTGCCACTCAGAATCGTCCATATGAAAAGGAGTCACGTGGCAAGTGTCAGGGACCAAGTTTTGTGGTGTGGTGGCCGACACAGCTCCAGCAAGGCAACGCGACCAAAGCCCTTCGAGGCATGTGAAAACCATGTGCTACCAATTTAACTGGGACTCCAGGCCATGGCTCCTTATGCAATGCCTTCCATTCCTGTTGGCTCTTTCATCCTCCAACATCAAGACATTATTACAAGCTGAAAATAGAACACACGGAGCTTTCATGCTCTGGGCGGCCCGAGAATGGAAAAGGGGGCAATTTGGGTAAAACCAATAAACGTTCAAGTTCTACCACATCTCTAAAGGGACATCTTGACTACAGAATTAAAAAGGAAGGAAAAGGGGTTTATCCAAAACTACTCTTTTAAAACACCAAAAAGTAATGCTTCTTTCTTAGCAGCACTGTGATACCACCTCGACCTCATATGCCAGGGTGGAGGGGTGGGGAATCCAGCATCTGAACAAAGCGTGTCCAGTGTAGAGAGCAGGCTGCATTTTTCCCCTTAAGTTAGGAAGAAAAAGCAAGTCTTGGCGAGAAGGAAAGTGCTGAGCACCTGCACGATTTTCATTTTTTTTTTTTAATTTACTTGAGAGAGAGAAAGAGAGCACACACTGGGGGGAGGGGGGGCAGAGGGAGAGAGAGAGAATCCAAAGCAGACTCCCTGCTCAGTGCAGAGCCCCACACGGGGCTGGATCCCAGGACCCTGAGATCACGACCTGAGCCAAAACCAAGCGTCAAACACTTAACGGACTGAGCCACCCAGGCGCCCTTTATTTTCATTTCTACCCTCTTTTTCTTCAGACGACAGAACATGCTATAATCAGCAAAGAAGATAACCCAGAAACACTATGTTCCCTCTTCAACCTTGGGGCCAAAGAATGTCAGCCAAGAAGACCTGTGGGGTTAGAAGAATAATACAATCTAGATACCAGTTTATAAAGCACTTCCCATGGTGCTTCCCACTGCCTCCTCCAAAATGTCCTTGAGATTAAAGGTGTAATTCTCCCCATTTTATAGATGAAGAAACAGAGACTCAGGTCAAATCACCTATCCAAGGCTACCTGCTCTTTTCCCAGTATTCTGCAGCCCTGCGGTCAACTAAACTATAAATTTTCTGAGAACAAGGACGATAACCTTTTTCTTAACACCTAACCTGGTGCCAGAGCATGGCAAGCAACCAGAATATATCAGCTGTATGTAACTGAATGGTCTGCCAAGCCAGGGCCCAATGGGGCCTTTGTAACCATGCAAAGCCCACCTCACAAACAAGGCTGAAATTACACGTGAAAACAATTAAGATTCCAGGTCATCTTAACACATGTCAAGCCTCACAAGAAAGCATTTCATAAGCAGGAAATATGTAATTGTACCAGTACACATACTCTGTTCACCCTTCACGACCACAGTCGTTCTAATACCGCAATGTGTTCTTAGAGCAATTTTGCTTTACAAAGTGATTTCACCTATCTTATCTCGTTCGGTTGGAAAGCCCTGAGAGAGGACAAGGAAAGAAAATAGAAACTTAAGGCGCCTGGGTGGCTCAGTTGGTTAAGCGACTGCCTTCGGCTCAGGTCCTGATCCTGGAGTCCCGGGATCGAGTCCCGCATCGGGCTCCCTGCTCGGCAGGGAGCCTGCTTCTGCCTCTGACCCTCCCCCCTCTCATGTGCTCTCTCTCTCTCATTCTCTCTGTCTCAAATAAATAAATTTTAAAAATCTTAAAAAAAAAAAAAAGAAAGAAAATAGAAACTTAAATATAACCCAACGGACATCTTGACTACTCGTTACAAGGGCCTGTATTGGTTTTTAAAAGCCAACAAACCAACAAACCTGCCGGCCTCTTATGCACTGCTCATAGGACTGTCAATGAGTACAGCCTATCTCTGAGAAAACAGTGGGGTACCGGGGCTCTCACTGTAAACAGCGGGCACTTCTGGGGCGCCCTGGTGGCTCAGTGGGTTCAGCGCCCGACTCTTGATGGCAGCTCAGGTTTTGATCTGAGTCGTGAGTTCAAGCCCTGCACTGGGCTCCACGCTGGGCGTGCAGCCTACTAAAACAAAAAACAGAAAGCCAAAACCAAAACATGGGCACTTCTGAGCCAGTAATTCCACTTTGAGGAATCTGGGAGTTAAGTGAAAAGATACAGATAAAGGCCTACTGGGCACATCATTTTGCACAACAGGCCCCAAACTGAAAAGGCCATCAAGAACAGGCAGGTAGAGTAAACTGCGGTAGCGATCAACCAAGTGCCCTGCAGCCATTTAAAAATAACGCTGCAGTGTTGTATTCTGATTATCGAGATAAGATATAAATGCAAAAAGCACGTAACAGAACATCAACCAGGAGCATGCACCCACACACGTCAAACTGTGTGTGTGTGTGTGTATTTATGTATCTCCCCACAAGTGCAGGAATGCCCAGTATGCGATTGCAATGGTTCGTATCATTTGCAGTCCTCCGAACGGAAGGGTTTCCTATGAAGCAAAAAAGTCATCTTCAAAACGGGACTGGTCCTACCGGCAGTGGAGGTATGGGGCTTACCTGTGGATTTTGTTTTCCCATGGAAACGACTCAGTGACTGCAGTTACCATGGATAACTGAGAATCCCCCTGGAAGGAGGCAGGATTCAGAAAACCGTGTCTCAAGAACAGTAGCGACAGAAAGCCTGCTGCTGTATCTGGGCCTGGATTTCATGCCCCTGCTGTGTCACTGACGAAATGTGCGATCTCAGGCAAGTCGCTCAACGGCCCCAGACACCTCTGTTTTCTCAGCTAAGAGATTTCTGCTAGCTACGTTCATCTTTCTCCCCTAGAGCCATACCAATTCCCTCCCACAACTAGACACTATCTGACATACTCCAAAAGCTTCACCTCAACCATTATTTCCTCAGCTGCGTACTGACGTTAAATTCAGCCCCTCCTCTGGGCAGGTTAATAGGATCAGAGACAGGCAACCACGGATTCCAGTGCCCAGAGGTAGGTTTAAGGAGTCAGGGCGACAGAAAGAAGGGGCTTAGCCCTGCCTGACTAGAGGACAGGGGTGGCAGGCTGTCCCGCAAGGCCTCAGAAGGGCCGGGTGGGCTCCTTCGGGCAACCCACTCGAGGAACCAGGACGTGCAAAGACCAAGGGGCTGAGTGAGCTCTGCTAAACTGAAACAGGTGCCAGGATAGGCCCAGGGTAGAGCAAAAAGGGCTTCTCGTGATGTGCTGAGGACACACTTGGTTTAGATTTATCCTGAAAGCCACAGGGAGCCAATGAAGGATTATGATCGGATTTTCAATTTCAAGGATTATTGCTCCAAGATCCGGTTTAAACACCTTGGGCGGAACATCTTTGTGCAGAGATTCAGGGCCACTCTCATCTCAACTGTCAAAGCTGCCTCTGGTTCACCACCCTGACGGGCTTGGAAGTCAAGTGCCAGATGATACAGAGAGCTTCAACAAACAGAGGGAGTGGGGCTGGGAAGAGAGGACATCAAAACGGACTTCTTCTAAAGCTACTCATTTGGTTTAAGAAGCAAAGTAGAGAACTCATTTGACTCATTTATTTCTGAGTCAGCTAGGAAGGCTGCTGGCAGGCCCGATGTCTCCAGGTTGGTGATTTCCAACTGAGTAATGATACCCTGACCATTTGTGCGGGCGTATGCAATTTACAAAATGCTTTCACATCAAAAATCTCACTGGCTCTCCCAGTAACCAGCCCGGGAGATGCATGGAACCAGTTTTCCAGATGAGGAAGCAGCTCCGCGAGGTTCCGTGGCCTGCCCACGGGTCACGCGGCCCGTGTAACGCAGGACCCAACCTTGAACTCAGCTCTCATTTCCGATCCTATCCACTACCACAGACGTGCCCTATATATTCACGACGAGCCTGTGAATGAAATCTGGGGAATATGTTACTGAAGCCCACGTACTAGCGGAAAGGCACATACGCAAAGCACAAAACACTCCAGGTTTTAATCATGTCTATACCTGACGGCTGCCTCACAGAATGAGCACCCATTCAGTAGCCCTCTTTCTGCAAACCTATGGAAGGAATAAATGCAAGAAACACATGCTCAAGTCCTAATCGCTGCTCATTTCCTCCTGGCACCTGTTTCGGCCCCCAGAGCCACCAAACATTTTAACAGCTGGTAGAAATGAGAACCAAGAGATAACCGTTGCAGATCAAGCCCTAACCAAAATTGTGCTTAGGAAATAATAGGGCAAGAACCTCCCGGATTTTTAAAAAAGAGCAATAAAACAGGGCACCAAAAGGTCTCCCACACTCTCCTGGAGCACTCATTCACAGCAAACCAGAGGGTCTCCTGATGGAAAACAGACCCACACACACAACCCTCTCGCTGCCCGCCCCCCCCCAATAAGAGTGCTGGGAAAAAACTCCTGCTTCTACTGGACAAAACAGGTGTATGAGGGAAGAGCTGCATTGGTAGGATGAAGGGGCAAAAACTGGCTATTCTGTTAACCTTCTAGGATTCCTGGTAACTAAACACTGCTGGTGATGACATTTCAATGCACACTGGCCTTCCTCTTCATGGGTGGTGGAGCTTGACAGACTTACAAAATTAGAACTTAAAATCCAATTTAGGCCTCTCAAGCAGCACCAGCCCTCAAAAACAGCTCTCCAGAACTTCAACCAGTAGGGTTCCCCTTTCTAACCTCCTCATACATCCTATGACTATGTGAGTAATTATGTATAACGTTCCCATTACTCATGCTGCTTCATTAACATATCTGGGCAGCCTTTGTTTTACCGCATGGCCCCGACCCTGGTGAGGACTGAGGGCAAATGATTTCCCCAGCGCCCCACAGTCCCCTAAGCAGCAAAGTCAGGGGCGACAATACAAGAGCAAAAAAAAAAGATTATCCAGCCGATCTGTCACAGCCCCTGCAACGAGAAAGCAGGTTCTCCTTCCTTGGAAGCCTGGAGAGCTAATGCGCCCAGCAGGGCCTCAGGTACCACCGAGGGGGGTGGGGGGGGACACTTACAAAAACACAGAGCACAAACCAGCCAGTCCCAAGGGGTCCTGGGATCTCGGCTCTTTTTCCAATGAGAAGTCAAGGAGACAGCCAGCTGGGGATAAGGGGGTAGCTCCACCAACTGGTGTTTAAAAAAACAACAAACACAAACATGCACTTGAGACGGACACACTCCTTCTGGTCCAGGAGGCTGACAGACTGCCTTAACTTCCCCAACCTTCTTAAGCAAAAAAACCTCTCCGGAGCCTGCCCAGAGCCCCGGTTATGGCCTTTTCTCCCCCTTTTCGGGGCTACAGTGATCATCTTACTTCTAAAGACCACGAAAAACTGGGGAAAAGATATGTAGCCTTTAACTCTCTGGCCAGTGTCTCTCTGCCTTGGTTTTCTCTTCTGTAAAATGGACTCGACAGCCTCTTTTTTTCTGGTGTGAATGCACTATGGAAACCAATGTGGGCGGTGATTTCCGAACTGACTGGGCCTTCTCTTCAGGATGCTTTCAGGAGGAGTGGGTGTTGTGTGGCCCATCTACGGGGTTTTCTACAATCCAAGCTCTTCTGGCACATTTCTTCAAACTTCAAAGAGAACCCCAGGAGAGATGGGCAGCGTTCTCACAAGATGAGCAAAATCTGTTGCAAAAACAGTGTGGAAGTGGAAAGAAACCCAGACACACACCCGAGAGGCCCAGGATGTGTCGTCCCAGCTGCTTGCTCGGGTGGGACCTAGCCCTCACCGGTGGGACAGGATCTACGTCCCTACAACACAGACCCTTTCTGATCCCAGACGTCCTCAGAGAACTAGAGTCACAAGCCACGTGCAAGCAGAGGCAGGAACAGCAAGTCCCAGAAGCAGGCAGGTTTCCCTGACCAGGAGCCAAGGGGTATCCAGCTCTCCCTGCCACTTCCTACAAGGTTCAGCTCCGCTTTTAGTGACTGTATCCTGAATCGGCAATGAATGAAAACTCCCTTATTAAAAAGTGTGAGGCTGGGGCACCTGGGTGTCTGCCTTCGGCTCAGGTCACAATCCCAGCGTCCTGGGATCGAGCCCCGCAGTGGGCTCCCTGTTCAGCGGGGAGCCTGCTTCTCCCTCTGCCTCTGCCCTCCCCCTCCCTCTTACAGGCACTGCGTTCTAATAAATTCTTTTTAAAAATTTTTTAAAATAAATAAAAGGCGTGAGGCTGGCAGAAGGTATAGTGTTAACCAAAGTCCCAAGAAAATTAAAAGGGTAAGAAAAACCTCACTCAGATGGTCTACAAAAAAGCAGACAAATTAACAGCAATACCAAAGTCATCAGAGCTCCCACCTCCTGGAACGAAGGAAGCCTGTGATCATGAGGCAGGCAGGGAAAAGGCTTTAGGGGCACAAAAGGAACCAGAAAAAGGGAGACTGGAGGCCAGCTGGAGAAGTACCTGAGACCTGGGGGGGGCCAGGAAGGGGAGGCAGGTATCAGAGGTTACCTCCTAGAGATCGAAAGAAACAAAAGAGAAATTGATTCAAACTAAGAAACTGAGATTCAATTGGTCTCCTTTCCATTAACAGGTAGGTTTAAGGATTTGAAAGGGAACGAACCGTCAGCAGTATCTAAGTGAGACCCAATAATTAAGGTTGCTGGATTACAAAATACAAGCTTCTGAACTCCATATAAATTAGGTGTAAAATCACAAATCTTTCTGTCCCCTGCCATCCAGTGACTGACACAACTGTGTTTTTAATTCTACAAGTAATTCAAGTTAGCTCGGCAGGACCACTGTAAGTCACCTTGTGCACCTGGCATGAACTAGATGGGGAGTCTGCTCTAATACCTGGGGATTAGGGCTAAATACAATGGAAGCGTTCTAATCAGAGGAGATAGGGGCCAGAAGCTGGTTAGCTCCTATAAAGTCTGTCAGGCGGGAAACCTTAAAATCCATAAAGATTTTGACATTCTAACTTAAACACCTAAATGTACTTTTAGTAACAGATTTGTTAAGAATTCTTCAGTGTTCCACGCTATGCTTTTTTTGGTGTGTTTGTTGGGAAGGAAGTTGGGCATAAATGAAGTTTGGTTCTTAAAAGGGAATCACTTGCTAAACAATGCATGTACGCAATCCTTAAAATTTACCCCGAGTTTTTTAAATGGCGGGGCCCACGTCTAATTTAACGGCCTGGTTTTTTTTTTTTTTTTTTTTTTGGTAATTCAACTTTTATCAAGTGTTCCCAAAACAGTCAACTTAAGTTTTCATAGAAACCAACTCTCAAAAAAAAAAAAAAAGAAAAAGAAACCAACTCTCTTTCCACACTTGTCCAAAGGTTTACATAGTATTTAACTGTAATTGCAATAATAAGTCTAACTGGAATAACCAGATTTGGAAACAAACAACTGACATTTGGCAAGCCTTCTATGGGTGGGAGCCGAAGGGGACAGAGGGACACACACCCCAGGGCTACTCACTGGCCAGGAGCACCGTGCTAGGGTCTGACAGCCAGGATATTCTGCAGCTAACAGAGCAAGCAGGTTGGATACGTAATTAGGTGGTTAGGACAATGGTTATGTAATCCTGGGGGAGACGTAGAGATGGACCACTAACAGGATTAGAACAATGCAACAGGGGTGCCTGGCTGGCTCTGTCCCTGGAACACATGACTCTCGGACCTCCAGGTTGTGAGTTTGAGTCCCACCTTGGGTGTAGAGAGTACTTAAAAATAAATTATTGGGGCACCTAGGTGGCGCAGTGGGTTGAACTAAACGTCTGACTCTTGGTTTCAGTTCAGGTCATGATCTCAGGGTCGTGAGCTCTGCATTCAGTGGGGACTCTGCTTGAGATTCTCCCTCCCTCTCCCTGTGCCCCCCCCCACATGCTCGCTCGCTCACAAATAAAATCTTTAAAACATAAAATAAAACAAATTCTTTTTAAAAAGGAACAATGCAACTAAAGGTCCAAAAACGAAATTTCTTAACGCTGCAAAACTTTTTAACCATTTTAGATAAAAATATCAGGAACCTGGGTCCTAAGAACATCGTGATCAAGGGCAAACCTTAAAAATATTCTGGTTTGGCCTTTACCAAGGGTTTTAATGTACTAGGCTTCACATGACTTGTCTGTGTCATCTTTGAAAGGAGAAAAATAGTTCCCATTTTGAACATAACAAATACCACTTATATACTCCAACAAAAGATTTTCTCTTTCTGAAGAGAAGTTTAAACAACCTTTGGAGCAAGGTATATATTAACACCGGAGTTATTTCCAAGGCACTTGGAAGTGAGTCAATAGCTCCCAGCTCAGCAACAGGAAGTGGTGTGACCTACTATGAGAAAAGACACGCCATTACACCATCTGAATACCAATTAATTCCAGGTGGCTATGTGGGCAGATGACTATGGAAGACACACAAGTCAGCGACTTGTCTACAATGAAGTGATAATCACGCAGATAACAGTTAAGTTGGACTATTTGGGGACACAACTTCTTTTTCCTTTTAAATTTATATGACACACTTTGGACTCTTTATATAGTCTTCCTCCCATAATCTCTGCATATAGTAAGCGCCACTCAAATGTCCCTGCCATATACATTTACGCAACAAAGAGTAAAGTTTTCCGCTACTAGACAGAGGCAGAAAGAAAGCCATGTAAACAGCTAAGGAAAGAAAAAACATAGCAATTAAATGACATGTACAAGGTTTGTTTGTTTTTTTCCCTCAGAACTGTGAAATAACCCAAGGGTATTAAGGGGGGGGGGGCGGGGAAGGAGCTCATAAATCCTACCACTGTATTTTGGTGTACTTCTCCTTTTTTCTTTATAATTTTATGTAATTGTAATTATAGTAAATCCTGCTTTTGAACCTTGTAATGTGAACTTCTCCCAGTTTTGTTTAATCATACTGCAACTTTTACATCAGAAAATTAGATACTTAAAACTTGACAGCCTAGTGGTACAAATTCTGCCTGAGCTGTCCTAGAAATCAAACTGGTCATTTGTTTTTGTGCTCAGCACATGACTCGGAGCTTCGTGTGGCAGAGGTTTTTTTTTTTAAATTTCAAACTCCTACCTGCTATAAAGCCTCAAAGATCAAATGGTGTTGAAGCCTGGGTATCACCCTCGTTATTCTCCCTAGAAATAACCCATCCAGTGGAGTGATGGAAATGGCAGAAAACATCCATGGAGCAGAGACATGTAACTGTTTTTATTGTCCAAGTGGATTGGGACTTTGAAAGCAAATGTTTTCAGGGATTCAAGGTATTGTGGTGGGAGTCGTGCCCAGCACAATTAGGACGAGATTACAATTTATGAGTTTCTCAAGGATACCATTTAATACGAAATATAACCATCATTTCTCCCAAAGCCTGCCATGGACAGTCCCACCCCACAAACTCTGCTTCGCGGAGGCAATAAACTGAATGGCAACGCGGCAGGCATCTGAGGCTTGAGACCAATTGTAGGAAACGTGCTGCCTTCCACCAGCTCGAGGAGTAACACCCCCTGACACAGAGAGCAGCAGACTCTGTTTTACATCTTTCCCGCACAGGATCCTTCTACATAAAAGTGAGGGGCAAGGGGCGCCTGGGTGGCTCAGTTGATTAAGCGACTGCCTTCAGCTCAGGTCATGATCCCGGAGTCCCGGGATCGAGTCCCGCATCGGGCTCCCTGCTCAGCGAGGAGCCTGCTTCTCCCTCTGACCCTCCCCCTTCTCATGTACTCTCTCTCTCTCTCTCATTCTCGCTCTCTCAAATAAATAAATCTTTAAAAAAAAAAAGTGAGGGGCAAAAGCAGGTGTTACCTCTTCCATTTTACAGAAAACTAAACAGACTCAGACTGCGAGCCTCCTGTTCTACCGTCCGGAAGTACTAAGCGCAGAGTACCTTGAGACTTAGTTGTCCCGTGCTCTTCCAAGAACACGTATCAATGACGAGTCTTCCCTGGTCCGCCCCCCCCCGCCCCAAAAGATAAAGCACAGAGCTGGCACAACGAAGGAGGAGCGCCACCCCCTCCCCCGGTATTACAGGGCTCCCAGAAAGAGCAACAGTTGCTGCTGAGCAGCATCACCCAGGAAGGCATCCCGTCACAGCCCCCAAAGGCACCCCAGACACGACTTCAAGGGACGAGGTGGCCAAATCCACAACACAGTCCTGCCACAAAGCAAAGCGTTCCCTGAATAAAGTTGCCTTGCTTTCTGAAAAGCGTTGCTGAGCGATCACAGCGACCACCGTAGTAATGCCACACCGTCAGCCGACCTGGAAACAGAAGAGGCGAAACACATTTCTGCAGAGAGGAGGCGTCTCCTCCCGGTTCCCCACCCCCTAAATGGAACCGGAGCTAGGTCGGCAGCCCTCGTCGGGGACCAAAGGCTCCCAAGCGCTCACCTGCAGGGAAGCGCAGCGTTTCGGGGCGGAAGGCGGAGGCCGATCGCATCCTCCTCCTCCTCTTCCTCCTCCCACGCCGCGGCCCCGCTCCGCCGCGGCCCCCGCCTCCGCTCGCTCGCTCCCTCCTCCCCCCGGCCGCCCCGCCGCCTGGAACCTCCCGCCCGACTTTTGACGTCACGGAGGAGGAGGAGAAGGTTCCACCCGGGCCCGTCCCTTTGTGACGTCACAATGACAACAGAACGCGGCCGGGAGCGTCCGGGAACCCGGAGCGGGGGAGCGGGGGAGCGGGGGGGCAGAGGGAGGAGGGGGGAAGGCCGGCGCGAGCCTGGGGGGAGAACCGGGGGGCGGGGAGGGGGCGCGCTGACGTCTCGCCGGCTTAACCTGTTGCTCTCGAGACGGCACTGGAGCCGGCGGGCAGGGCCGCGGGGAGCCGGCCGGGCCGCCGCCGCCATGCTCGGCCGTGCGCGCGGCGGGGGGCGCCCGCTGCAGCTGTGCGCCGCGCCGCCCCCACCCCGGCACGCCCCCGCCCCCCCCCACCGCGCGCCGCCCCGCCCCCTCCCCTCCCCTCCCTTCCCCCGGGCCCAGAAGGCCGCGCCGCCCCCGCGCCCCACCCGCCCGCCCGCCCGCCAGCCTGCGGGCCGGCCAGAGCCGAGCCCCGAGCCGGAGCCGGAGCCGCAGCCCGAGCAGCCCGGAGCCCGGCGCCGGAGCCGGCAGCCCGCCCCCTACAGGCCGCGCGCGCGCGCGCCCGCCCGGCCCCGACCCAGCCCGCCGCGACCCCCGCGCGCCCTCCCCTCGGCTGCCGGCTCGAGCACGTCGGGAACACGGGCTCCGCTCCGCTCCCCCGGCGTCAACTCGTGCTCTGCCTCCCGCGGCCGCCGCCAGCCACGGGGCTTGCGGCCGGACGCCCCGACTCCACACAATCCCCTGACCGCCAGCAACAAAAAAATCCCACCCCACACCAATCTCCAACTTAGCGAGGTCTGGGATGGGGGCCGGGGGGAGGGGTGGGGGCGGCGGAGGCGGTTCTTGTCCAAGTTCTACCCCATTTGCTTTGTGGCTTCACCCGGATCGGACGTGCCCCGGGAAGGCGTCCACGCTCCAAGGCAAGGTTGTCTCCATGCAGTTTCTACAGCCCGAGTTTAAACTAGTCCTTTGCATTCTACCCAGCCCTCTGCAATGCGGATGTATTTTAATTCTTAAATTCTTTAGGGAACAGCTTTTTTAAGTTGAGCTTGATTATTTAACCTTGCATTTCTTTCATAGTTGAAGTTTACGTGCCTAGATTAGAATCAGCCCTCTGGAAGAGGCATTCGGCTTTTTCATTAAACGTATTTTTCTTTACAAAAACCAGTGCCCCGAAGGTCATCTCCCATTACACACATCACATTGCTCAAAAAGGGAAAATATTAACACCAATTTGTCGACTCGAGTTAAATAAAACTTTCTTATAACGTTGCATTATTCCTAGTGTATGTTCATTTGGGCTTTTAAAAAAAAAATTGGGTTCTCTGATTTAAAGCATGCAGCTAATCACCGATCACTCGAGTGCATATTTGGTTAATCCTCCGTTCCCCTCTACCCTCCCTCCCCCCAAACTTTAAAAAAAAAAGCCATACACAAAACAAAAACACTCCCCATGCCAATCAAAACGTAGCTGTACTATGCACAAAACAAATTTAACTATTCCAAGCCATTTAAATCTCTGAATAATCACCCAATTTCAGAAGCCCACTTAACAGGGAGAATTTATTTGTAGTCACTTACACATGTATTCACGTACCTACTTAAAAACATTAGCTATATTGTATGTGTTTTCCCCCTAAAACTGGAAACCATGAATTTTTAAACAAAACCAGTTCCATTATTAAAGTCAATCCCAACAAATGCATTCGCTGTAACATGATTCCCAACTGATTTACGTTGCGAACCAAATAAGCCAAAACGACCACATACATTAAATTTGATATGCCAGTGCAGGGAACAAGATCGCCATAATCGGACCCTCGATTGCAACTTAAAGGGCTTCCAACACACACGGGTTACACGATTCTCCAAATAACATTAATAATAATAACACAAGCTCATTTGCATGCAAAGTGCAATATGGGGCCAAATCCGCCCGAGAATGCAGTTTAGTTACATTACCGCAGCCCCCACCCGCCCCCCAAGCTCCACCAAAATCCCTAGCCTTTCATCTAAAACTAGATTATGGTTGTGTCATTCGAGGTCAATTTATTCACTTGAGGTATCGCTACACCAATCTGTTTTTTCATCCAAACTAGGCAGACACGACTTTGCCTGAAAAGCCCTCTTTCAGAAAAGAAAGAAACAGCCTTATCGGACGCTGTGTTTAAAACCCTTCAGCTGCAGAATTATCTATAAACTTGACATTCACAGCCATTGCTTAAAACTGCAAGTCAAAGGATGTGTTGTTAAGAGCACTTACGTATTTCTTCTGAATGATATTCCTCTTGGGTCTTTCCTTGCTCATTCTGAGATCCAAATGCTGATTGCAAAAGGGGACAATTGCTTCATGAATTTAAAGCCGTCAGAAATTTGCAAAAAAATATCCTGGTGGTTTTTATTGTTGTTGGTGGTGGTTGATCTTGTAATCCGACTTTTCTTCCTCTTCCCCCAAAGCCCGATTCGCCTTGAAATAAATCCGAAATTGGGAAGGAGAAAAAAAAAAAAAAAGAGCCAAAGACGAACGAAGCAAACAACAACAACAAAAAATTCACTTTAGTAAAACACTCATAATGGAAAATTTCCCCCGAAACACACACACACACAAAAAAAAACCGACGCCCTTCACTCCCCCCCTTTTTCCTCCAAAAACTACATCAGCGAAACGTGAAGGTCCTTAGTGTCTGATCTGTAGTTACATCTTGGAAAAGAAAAGGGAAAGATAAATAAAAAATGTTGGAAGTCACGTTTGTGCTGCAGCAGCAGCGCGAGCAGAAGAGTCAACTCCAGCGGCGGCGGCGGCGGCGGCAGCACCACAGCGAGGGCTCGCCGAGTCTCTTTTTTCCAAGCCCCCTAACCAATGAGAGAGAGGCTATCCAGCCCAACTTTAAATGGACTCTGCTTTTATACAAGTTAGGGCTCCTCGGGTAATTCCCCGACGGACGCTAGCCGAAAACTCCCACAGCTGAGCCGCCAGGCGCCCGCCTACTCCGGCGCCGACCGATCCCGGCCCAGTCCGGAGGACCCGCGCAGCCCCGTCGACTAGACACCCGAGAAGCTTCGACGAACCCTTCCCGGGCAAACCCTCAGGCATCGCTCCCACGCCGAGCCTAGGAGTGGAATTGAGAGAGGCTCCCTAGCCCAATGCATGGCACGCTCGGTCGCTCCACCTCACCCCCTTTCCCCAGCTTGCCGCTCACCCCACAGCCGCCACACGCCAGCCCCCGCCACTGCCCTCGCGTCTACCTGCAGCCGGGCTGCTGGATACCAGTGCCCCAAGACGCCCGGCCCCGGGGAGAGCCGCCTATTCCCGGGGCACCTTAGAATGGTCCCCTTGATCTTCTGGAAGTTGTAGTCCCCCGACTACAAAATGGCTATGGCCACGGGAGCTGGGAACTACAATTCCCAGCCTGCCCCGCAAAGTCTGTCACTCAACTCCCCTCCCTCCTCCTCGCCCCCTCCCCCTCACCGGCCCTGCCAACAAACGCTTGGATGTGTCCCGCGTGTGACACTGCTAGAGGCTGGCTCGGGATTGGTCCGCAGAGCGTGTGGTCCGCGAGCGAGGAACTCCCCACGCCGGCCCGCCCCCGCCCCCGGGCCCCGGCCCCCGGCCCCCGGCGGCGCCCCGCCCCCACCCGCGGCGCGAACCGCCTGTGGAATCGAGGAATCGCGCGCGCGCCGGCCCGAGCCGAGCGGCGGGGGGGGGCGCGGGGCTTCCTGGGGGAAGGCCTCGGAGCGTGGCGGCGCGGGGGGCGGTGTCGGCGAGGGGTTGGAGCCCGTCCTAAGGAAAACTGGGCCACGCACCAAGAGGAATCCTCGGTGCGAACTAGTTGAGCGGCGGCGCCTGCCGCCTGTGCCGCGCAGCCGGTGTCAGCTCAGGACACCGCCTCGCGTCTTCGCACACGGCGTGCTGCGGCCGGCCCGGGGTGGGCTGAGGTCACCTCGGCCGGCGCCCCGCAGCCGCACGCGCTGGAAGGCCACCTCCTGGCGCGGCACGCGGCCCGCCGGCCGAGCCGGGCGTCGGGGGTGGCCGCCTCCGGCGAGAGAGAAACCCGCCCGGGGACGTCCGGCCCGAGCTCTGCCCGCAGAGGGGTGCCTGGCGCCGGGGGTGCCCGCGGGCGAGCGAGGCTGCGCGCGGAGCTGCAAAAGGAGTGGAATGTGGGGACCGAGCCGCACTGCCGTGCGAACTGCAGGGACGCATCTGGAACGCCGAGCGCCGGGAGTTGCCCCGCGCGGGCCACGGGGGCGCCGCCTTCTACCTGCCTCTGCCCCCTGTCGTGGCCATTGAGTCGCTGACGGGAGGGAGGGAGGAAGGCCCGGCTCGGACTCCTCGGGCCTTCGCCGCCTTAACAACTTCGTGAAGTCTTACGCAGCCATTCTGCATCATAAATCTACTTGTTTTAACTGTGGCTGCGGAGAAGCAATGTTTTAAATTATCTCCTCTCAGGCTCCCCTCTGGGTAAATGAAAAGTGGGGTCGCTCACACCGCCTCGTGCTCGCTGCTGTACGTCTTGCTCTCCTCCCCATCCCGTGGACCCTCCTCCCCCGCGGGTTGCACGGTGGTTAGATTTTTATGGGCAGCAGTGTTTCGGGAGGTAACCGTGGTCTAGCAAGGTCTCCGAAACCGGTGGTAAGAGGCCTGGATTCAAATCAAGCCTTAGCCCTTGCTGAAAGGCAGCCGGTGCCTTCTCTGAGCTTGTCCTCGGCCTCGTCCACAGATGACCAGACCGTGAGGGGAGGATTATGTAATAACAGTAACCTAGCTAAGAACCGGCCCCGGTAATAGGAAGCTTTCCGTAAAGGAAAGAAAATGCCTTTTTCAAAAGGCTTTTGAATTACTACTCTACCTTTTTAAAAAATCTGAATGCCTTCTAAAAAGGAACAATTTTGTCTTACATTCATTTCACAATCAGAAAAATAAATGGCCTTCTGTGCCTCGATATTGCAAAACTTGTTTGTCGGTGCCATTTGCCGGGGAGGACTCTGCAGAACAGACTCCACTTTTCAGGATTGGCCACCCAAGTGACTTTATGGTTAGGTTACAACGAGGTGTTTTCAAAAGATTTTCTGATCATTAGGACCTACCTGTATACTGGAGGTCTGCACTCCTCCACAGTGTTAGGGTTTTAACCAGTTTTCTGGAGGTTTAATGTCAGATCTGTCACCCCCCAGGCAAAATATTAAAGAACAAAGGTGGGTTTCTTCTTGGTTCCCTGAGCTAGCCCTGAGGCCTGGCTTCTCTGTCCCAGGCCTGGGAACTCCCCTGCTGGGCTACCAACTTCAGGG